GGAACAGCGAGTCATACTGTTAGAGAAAAAGCACCAATGCCAATCCCAAGCCAGTTCTCAAAACAGGAAATGTTCTCAGAGGTGGGCTAGAGTCAGCTAGAGATAGTGGGTGGGACATGTCAGGAAAAAGGCCAAGTCGCGGCAAAGACCCTTCGGGTAAGACTGCGCCATTGTGGTCCAGGGAATGCCCTGATGGTTGGAGCCCGTCAACTGAAAATGCGGCTTCTGAGTTCTGGAACAGAGGCCGCGACCAGTGCAGACTCGGTGGAGGCGGTCCACATCCTGGCAATCCAAATTACCGCGCAACAATTTGGTTCGCTTTCGCCAGCAAGTATCATACTGACAAAAATCTGTAATGACTGGCATGACATGTGGACTGTGCTCGAGCTTTTGGAGAGGAGGAAGAAACCAACATTTAGAAGTCGCAGGATTTTCCAAGATCCAGGGGATGCTTTGCGTGTCAAGCCAGTGAATAATTCGTATGGCTGAACGAAAACAACGATTGCCTGCGTCCACTTGCAATTGATCCAAAGGCGACAACATGTGCTTAGGCAGACCCCATGGAAACTCTTTTGTGCGGAGCACGGCTGTGCGGTCCCGAGCAACAGAGAAACTAGAGCAAGGCGGGGCCAGCATCGCCCCCAAAACCAAAAACTTTTGCGCATCTGACCTGATTTTTTTGCAGAACTGAAGATTTTGTCAAATCAAACTGTGAACCACGACCGATTTCCCACTCTTTCGCAGCGTACCCCAAAGCTCGTGCTGCTTTGGCCACGCCGCCAACCCCTGCAAAAAAGTCTGCCACATACTGGCCCTTTAGGCCCTTGGCTTTGTAGGTGGCCTTGGGGCATGGGCCCGGTTCAACATCACATCCCCTAGCAGTCGCTCTGCGGCCAGGCAGTGGTGCTGCAACTGAGGGGTCAGGCTCTGGAAATTGGCGGTCAGTCTGGCGGCCTTCTCGTATCTTGCGATGCTGTTGTGGGACTTCCATCGGCCTCTCTTTTGGACCTCCAGAAGGCTTCTGAGGTTTCTGCTGCGATCTATCGAGGGGCCTGCCGCTGTCCCTTCTTGTCTTTGGCTTCTGTGGTCGAGCTGGAGTCGTCGCTCGCCTCGTCTTCGCGGGTCGGTGCCCGGAGCTGAGAGGCCAGGGTTTGAAGAGACGGCGCTGAGCTCGAGGGTGGCTTCATCAGCTCGGCCCTCAGATCGGCCTTTTCCAAAGTCATCTTCTTGGACTTCTTGGACTCTTGCGGGGAGCTGCCGGCAGCCAGGACTTGGGCCTTCCTCTTCTGACCCGTCACGGTGGGAAGAGGTGCCAGCCGGGCAACCCGCTTGGCCCCCGTGTTTTGAGGGACATTGGTGTGCATAGGGGAAATCAAAGTTTCGTCTCACCACATGCCCTTGGTCGCGGCTCGGCGCGTCGGCTGGGTTCAACTCTGAGGGCAGCCAGCGAACACTGAACTTTCTGATTTGTCGCAACATTTTGAAATTCTTGCTGCGGCATCGGTCAAAGGCAAGAGCTGCACTCATGGAGTCCACTAAAAAAAGCTGTCTAGAGTCCCCGCAGCCCACATCCTCCACTTGTCCACATAAACAAAATGTTTCACCTGGTCTTTTGCGCCGCTGTCAAAAACTGTTGGCCCGCCTCGGTCGTGGATCAGGGTCGATCCCGCCAGGCTGGGGACGTTGCCCATCACAGCCTCATTGATGCGCTGCGCGAAAAAGAGTGACCAAGTGAACCCCATGCAAAGAGAACCAGGCATTGGGTAAATAAGGTCGCTTGACTTCAGCGCCTGGCCCTCCAGCACGGCCCCTGTGAGGCCAACATGTCGTGCCTCAATAGCCACTTTGACAGCCATCTCGGTTGCTTGACACGATGGAAGCAATCCTTGACATCTGAGAGACCGGCGTACAAACTGAAATCATCAACATCATCCGAAGAGCCTGTCACTTCGATCTTTGAGAAAGTTTCAGCTGTAGCCAGCGACACTCCAGGTGGGTCCCGAAAATCCGCATTGGCCGGCCGAGCATCAACGATCATGCGGATTTTCTGTTTATCAGACTTCCAAACAAAGAACACTCCAGCATGTTGCGAGGGAGAAAAAGTATAGTCCAAGTATCCGATATTATGCAGCTTCTGAATGAACCTCCTATAATTGCAAGCGTTATTTTTCAGAGCGGGATCCCAATAAGGCTTAAAAGACTTACTATGCTCAGTCCCAGGGTCCTCACGTAACATTCGCTCTTGCACCTCCAGGTATCGACGGTCATCCGCCGGCAGAAGATCCTCGGCTCGAGGAGCATCAGTCAGATCCTTCGGCAGCGAGATGAGCTCGAGGTTGAAGGGCGCTAGAGAAGCTGGGGTGGAAGGCTCGGAATATAGCCGTCCTGCCCATGGAGCAGCTCCCTCAGGGCTGCCTCCTGTGAAGGCACGCAACATTGGTCACCCAAGTCGCCCGCCATCTCAACCATCCGGTGCAGCCTATGCAACACTTCACAGTGTAAAGGGTGAACCGCTGTGCCAGGCTGAGAGTCAAAATCACCTGCGTGCATCCAATTCAAAGCCGAAACAACTTCTCGAACTTCATGACGAATTCTAACCTTCCTTGCCATTCGCTGGCTTGACCGTCGATTGAGACCGCGCGGCATCGAAAGGGCGGCCGGTCTAGGCAAAGGAAAAAGGCTACATGCACTAGTGGGAAAAGCATCGCGTGACCCCTCAACGTTCATCTTGTCGCCAGCAGCCGGGGCCAAGCTGCTGGCTGGCCCCTCACTCATGCAGGGCAAGCTGGTGGTTCAAGTCCCTTGCCGCGAGGTCGGCGCGCGGGCTTGGGCTTCGGGCCACCAGCTGCTACACTGCCATCTGCAACGGCTTGCGCCGCCTCCTCCATGGGACCACCTGACTTCCGCAGCTCTTTCATGAGCTCAACTTCTTCTTTGCCACGGCGAGCTGCCCACGTCTTGAGCTGGGGCATCACCAGATCCTCGGGCCCGGCATAACCAGTGAACAACCTTGCATTGCCCCAGTCTGGGGTCGAGCTTCCTGTTGAATAGGCGTCAACAGTTAACAATGCATTGCACCCTTCTCGCAACTGACTCAAAGCTGGCCAGCACTGGCATGTTGAGCTGGTCATAGGTTCCGCCGTAATAAAGCACCTCCATGAGACACCTGAGCTCATGCTTGACCCG